ATTAAGGTGATGTGAGAAGGATGGGAGAGAAAGATAAGAGATTATGATACGAGGGGTATAAGAAGCAAGAGAGAGAAGAAAAAAAATAAAAAACTTTGATGTCAGGCTTTTAAACACCTAACTCGGTGCTATATATTTAAATTATGCTATGTGTCTTTTTTTTTATTTATATATATATATATCAGTTTTATATATAATATATAATTTTTTTCAATTAATTTTTTACTGTTTTTATGGTCATCCTAAAACCTCAAAGCAGATGGAAACCATTGTGCTTCACAGTGCTGCGGAAAACCAGTTTTAACATCTGCACAGTTTTTCTGTCTAAATGTGTCTTTTAACAGCCAGTGAAGGTAATATCAGTCATCTCGTGCCTGGCAGATTTCTCTCTGTTATTACACATTACTCGATGAATGAAAGATGCTCCCTAAGTTTAGGATTTCCTGGAAGTACAGCTTGGATTGAGGCCTTTTATGGTAATTACACATCCAACGCTGGACAGGAAAGTGCAGGTGCTGCGGGAAATGTTTAAAGACCGTTTTGGCATTCAGTACACCTCACACCACCCAGATCGTCGTCGTGTACTCAGTCAAAGGATAACTGTACACCACCCCACCACTCACTTCCTGTAAATGGGTTCAAGAGGAAATAGCAGAGCACCGGGGCTTGACTTGGTGTAATCTCCTTTTCGCATCTGCCATGTAAGGACCAATTCAGTTTTCTACCTATATGTGACTTGCTAACAGACCAGGAAAATAACATAGTAAGATGTGCAAAACACCCCCGGGATATTCGCATTTGAAGTACTGGTTTCTGTGGAGTTATTAGAACCCAGAGGATCTGTAAGCTCATTTGAGCACGGCTCTGGTCTCCTCTTGTTCCTCTTTATATAGGTTACAGTGCAAAGTGCTACCAGCATTATGTTACTTACAGCTGAAGCACTTGGCAACGTTGGAGAGCAGTTTATTCTTAAAGGGACACTTCAAGCACCATAACCACTGCAACACCTGAGAAAGCATCACTTAAAAAGTCATCCTCACTTTTCTTCACATGCCTGGGTGATTGATTAAAAAGGCTCTTTCTGCAATGCTTACCTATCCGCCTCCCACAATGTCATGGCCTCCTCCATGCTGGTTCAATCCAATGATCCTCCTAGAGGAGCCATGGGGGCCTGATGCACATGTGCATTGTAAAGCACTGAATCTGTGCTTTACAGAGGGTGCTTTCTTAGTCATGTGAATATTTTTTACTTACCCAGTGCCGCGGATGCGCCTATAGTGGCTGTCGGGAAGAAAGCTACTATAGGTGGACTTAACCCTGCAATGTAACATTACAATTTTTATTTTTTAAAAAACCCTCCAATGGAGCCATGCCGATAAGGGTTGTTTTAACCAAAAAGAGTGTTTTATTAAACACTGTTTTTTTTGGTTGGAGTAACCATTTAAATACCTGATTCATATCCTGCAACCATCACTTTTCATGTACCACACTGCATGTTTAAGTTAATATTTACCCAGGAAAATATGGTGGACCTAGCAGGCCGAGTCAGATTATTTTACGAGGTTTATTTCCAGAACTAATTTACTATAAGTTTGGTATAGGAAGCAGCTCTGAAAAGATCTGTGTTCCAAAATACAGTCAACTCGAAATGTTTTGCAAGGTATAACTTTACTCCATTATTTTGTGCCTTCAGGACAAAGTGCATCGGGTGAGTTATTGCTGTTGATTTATTCGGCAATATTTTACCCCTCTGCTTCTAACAAATAGCACCTGTTAAATGGTTGCATATATTTTCTTCCCGCAAATTACAATGTGTCGCACATACATTCCGTCCCTTTCAGCACTCCTAATTACCTGTTGTACTGTTAGACAAATCCCTTTTCAAGGACCAATATTGTGAAGTGCTCTGATATGACAGCGTACGATAATGAGGATTAAAGAAATTACACCAGGCATAGGCTGTTCAATTAGTAAATATAGCAGACAGTCAGACCCCGTGTGAAAACACAGCTTGCTGAGACCCTTAACCTGCAGCGTACATGGTATAGAACGAGGGTTCAGAAAGCAATCTTTGTCCTGCAGCTATTTATATTCTCTCCTTGGTCCTAAAAAATCAGACAGGCCCTTTCTATATGGGCTGGGACAATTCCAAAGAGACTCATCCATCTGTAAGAACTGGGCTACCTTTATAGGCATAGCATTAGTCCCACCCACACATGCTTTTAGATCATTTTATTAAAAAAAAAAATTCAGAGAGACCCTTACAAATATACTTGTAAGGGTCTCTATGAATCTTTTTTTAATAAGTTGTATGTTATTGCACCCATCTGTGCCCAATAAAATGTGGTTATCACTTATTTTCAGCTTTAAAAATGTTTGAAAATTTTGTTAAAACACTGAGTTGCTCTGAGATTAATCAGTAAAACAAACAAACATGTTGAGGGATACAGTAACCTTAGATCAAAAATACATAGATAAACAGCTCTCTGTTGTTCAACTGCAATTCTAATGACCATCAGCTAGCCAAGCCGGAGAACTGTAATTTTGAAAGTGACAAATATGCTACGTGGCTGAGTAGCACGCACTGTGTAGCTCCTCGTCTGTTGTAAGAGTACAACTATAAGAACCCTCAACCAGCCAACTAGGAAAGAGTGCGGTCTGAAAAGCCATTCCGTGTGATCTTCAGTATTCATTGCAGCGTGTACACTAGAAGTAATCCTCCCCTATGTACAGCTTTGCAGTGATTATAAAATCTGGCCGGTTAATTTTAAGGGGTGTTACAAGGCACACCGCGTTCTCTGTTTATATTAATATTTCTAATGAGGGTGTGCCAAGTTTAGCATCTACTCCCCAGTTCCCGTTCTCTGTGACCCAGATCTTAGAGCCCCAGGTTATCCTGAAACATCTCCTTTGCTCAGAGCTGGCTTCCCTGGTTAGACCGCTGACTCACTCCTCCTCCTCCCCTCTTTGTTGTTGCTGGATAACTTAGGAGCCCAAGTGGGGCCTTACTTGTGCCAATCGGTAGCACCCAGCTCACGCCCAGCTTTCTCTCTAGCTTCGGCTGCATCCTGGCACACCCCAGAAGCGTCACCTCATAATCAGTTAACCCCTCAGCCCTTTCATAGATCACTTTACTGTACTTTCACACAATGTAACTTGAAACAAAACAATAAAATATCAGAGAGAAAACAATAAGACGCATAGACTAGAAAAGTCACAAGGTGCAGAATAGGGACAAATAAGCGAGACACCAGGCGGACAACAGAAAAAATAAAAATATATATATATAATGGAGTTTCAGATGAGACCTTCATCTATTATTTTTATGGCAGTATTACCATCTCTGCTGGGACACCCATTCTGATGTGTCAAACACCTCTCCAAAAGCCTTAGATTCTGATTCTAGTGTCATTAAGACACCTATAGTAACATAGATCCTGGAAACTGCCAGAGATTAATAATATGGTAACAGGTCCATTTGTATGAGGTGTAAATGGACTATATTTATCATGATAGTCAACAAGCTTAAAGTTCTGCTAAGTACCAATGCATTGTAGTTCACAGACTTCTCAAGCATTAAGGATAGCTGAGCATCATGGGAGATGTAGTTTATAAACATCAGCGGTGACAAGAGTAAGTTGCCTGTGACTGTCACTGCCTTCACATTCCATAAATATTAGGGAATGTATGAGTTCTCCATATCTTGAAAATTACTCTGTACACAGTGATATTTGGAGGGCGAAGGTACGATCCTTGGTGGGCTGTCTGGTGGGAGTCTCTTGTACATCCCCACATCATGTTGGGGGGGGGTCTCCCTGGTATGCAAGTTAGAATTCCGAATGGCAGCAGACCCTTTTTATTAACGGAGCTGGAGACAGCTGGACATTTTGCTAATTACATTCCTCAACTACACTATAATTCAACCTTTTATTGAAATTCTGCAGAAAGACTGGCAGAAAATTCATTTCTGGTCTTTCTTCTGACGCCGTGTCAGACTGGGTGGTTTTACAAGCTGTGAGGGAGATGAATAATCTATCAACTCTATGGCTAGGCATAGAACAATTCATCTTCTTATTACACAGCCTGTCTGACACTATGAGGACCAGTGACAGCCACCTCTACACCAGCAACTCCAGTCTGAGCAGTACAAGAAGAGCAACACAAGTCAGGAATCTTTAACTCCCACTTTGCCGCAGGAGTCCGGCACAATATCTTAGTTTTGACTGTCCTCTTTTGCAAAGTTTGAGGGTTCAGTGTACTTAGAGTAGCCTCTATGAAGCTACTATATAACTTGCAATGCATTGCAGGGGAATGCTGTGAACTGCAACTCATATAATGCCTAGTAAATTACGTATTTTTATCAGCTAAGACTTATAGGCCATATGGTCTGGTTAGAATCTTGTGTTTTGGCATTTGATATAAGGGGGTTGTAAAGTTTCTTGGCATGCCAACCATGTAGTCATCTGCAACTCCAATTGTTATGGTCCTCCTAGTCTAAACAGTATTTATGCATAACAAATTATTTCACCAACTACCCAAGTGTAATTTGCTAGGTTCACCTTGACTCTCTCCTAAGCCATTTTAAGAGTCAATGAAAAAGTCAGTGGCCAATCTATCCTCACTTGACATCTATTAACTGGGGCACTGGCCTGGTGACTTACATGAAGAACTTTTCATAATTTCTCTAATATAATATAGTATATTAGTAGTTAAATACCTTGTGAATTTTATTCGATGATGTCTTTCAAGTTATTTCACATTGATTTTACAAGAAAAATAATATATAAATAATTCAAAATGGACATTTTCCCAGATTGTATCTGTCCCAGAAGACTTTAATCAGAAAGTTCTGGTCCTCCGATTTCTATCTATTTATTTTGCAAGCTTTATTTATTTATTCAAGATATACAACAAAAAAGAAACAATGGACAAATGTACTTTCACAAACAGTCACAGATGTTAAGAAATTGGAGATAAACCATCAAAATTCAAATAAATTGCGCAAAGTCAGTCATAGCCATACAGTGACCCTACCAAGTCTTCATAACTGCAGAGTTACTCAGTGTATGTAGGGAGAAAAGGTAGAAGAGGGAGAAGAAAGTAAGAGAAGGGAAACATGGAATGGGGAAGACAGGTGAGCTAATGGCTCATGTTCTGCAGTCTCAGCCATGATATTGCTCCACTCCTAGGAAATCACACTTGGGCTATTCCAGGTGTCTCCAACAGATACCAATGCCTTTGAGTCATATAGTCTCACCATATAATCAAGCCAGGGGTGGATCTAATAAATCAGCAGCAGTAAGTTCCTCCATGGCTCTAATTTCCTCAAAACATGCTTAAAATTCAGAGCTGTGCTTTGTCTCCACAGGGCAGGAATCAGGGACTTAGCTGCTCTCAGGATGTGATTGGGCTGAGTATTTTTTGTATTTAGAAATAAGCACTCTAGTATTATCAAAAAGTACATCTTCCAGGGTAAATTCAACACCTTCATCAGCAGCATATATCGGTTTCCAAAAAGGTGTCGTTACAGGGCAGTTCTATCACATGTAGAGCATGGCATTGACCCTTCCCCCGGTATCTCCAGGAAGATACTGTAGAGTGAGATACCATGGAGATAAAGTTTTAAGTATCTTGATTTATGACCACAGACTCAGTGAAAGTTCTACCAAATTCTTCTTCCATAAGTGCTACAAAACAAAGAAGAGCAATTGGAATGCCAATTAATTAAATTATGTAATGTAGAGAGATCCGATAAAAGGATTCGCCTCCTGCGCAGTATTCCTCAGACAGCATAGGTGATCTAAAAATATTCATCATGAGGTGGTCCTCAGATTTAGCTTAACATCCAAAAGGCCCCTATTTAGATTTCTGATGGAGGGTAGACAGAATAGGTTTAGAATTTTTTTTGTTTTTTTTAAATGTATACACCCATTATTAGTTACCTACAGGAAGGTGATCCTTTCCCAATGTGCTTCTTCTATGCTTGCCATGCTACACTCTAGCATTTACGGTATATTTCTGTATAGGGCCAAGACTTTATTTAAAAAATGTACTCCATTTATCCCCCATTTCCCCATAACTTTACCATCCATCCTGTTGAAACACTGAAGGAACACTATAGTGTTAGGAATATAAATATGTATTCTTGATGCTATAGCACAGGGATAGGCAACCGTCGGCACTGCAGATGTTTTGAACTACATCTCCCATGATGCTTTGCCAGCACTATGGCTGCAAGAGCATTGTGGGAGATGTAGTCCACAACATCTGGAGTGCAGAAGGTTGCCTATCCATGTGTTATAGTATTCTAGTCTCTATTTAGATTCATAAGTCTTTTACTCTAGTCCTCGACCCCCCCCCAACTTAAATAAAAAAGAAAAAAATGTTTTACTTACCTTTTTTTCTAGTGCCATGTCATTGCAGCTGGCAGATCCTCCTCCCACGGTGCCATCTTGTTTGCTGACTATTCTTTAGCTTCTCGTTCTCATATGGAAGCACTGAATCCAGTACTTTCCTTTGGGAAACATTTGATGATATTTGACATTTTCATGATCCTCTGCAGGAGAATTGAGAAGTACTTGATGGGTTCTGAAGAAGATGGTGGGAGAAGGAACATAGTTCTGGGAATTAGTCATAAAGCAGTACTTTCTATTAATATCTATAGTGAAATAATTTAATAGCCAACAGGAACTTCTCTTTTTTTCCAGAGCCCAGATCCCTTACTTGTCACACTGCAGTACATTAACCAGATCTTTATATACCCACTGCAGCCTATATTTTTACTCCACTGAACTCCTGAACACTAAGGGGAATTTAACTGTAAGACCACTGTCAATGTCATTGAACAGACATAAAATGTGTTTAACGTTGACTGTTTCATTTGTTTATTTTATTTATTAAATAGATAAATGAAACTGCTTCGGAGCAGTGTTAGACAAATACTAATAATGGAAGCAATTTAGGTTTCACATATTTAAGGAATTTTACACAAGATTAATGACCCAACAGAGGCACGGAATATACAACAGGAAGGAAAAGAGCCAATGAGGTGGGTAGTTTATTTATTTTTTCAGCCCTTCGTATCCTTCGTCTTAGCCCATGGTATCCTGCTTCTACCGGGACTGAATTGTTTACTCTTGCCAGCAAAATTCTTCTGAAATTGTCCTTGAGCCACCTCTCATTCCTTCAGTCCATAGCAGGATTCTTGGTTCTGACAAACAAATGGTTAAGCTCATCATTTGAGGAAATCCGTGCCACCCTCCTGTTCTCATTCCTGGCTGTGCTGCCCAGACTGTGCAGGGAAGCTAAGTAGTTTTAGTCTGAGTAAGTAATCATTTCCCACATAGTGCCAAACAGCAGCTCCCTCCTTACAGCCTTTTGTAGGCTGCTTTTCATTTTCACAACTACAGTAATTGTCTTTTCATCGCCTTGGCATTGACCGCAGAGCGTTGTTCTGTGTGTGAGAAAGTGGCCGGTTCAATCCGCAAAATATCAATATATGTAAAACAAAAAAATGAAAATAAGTGATTTATGGAAGGCCGGTAAATAGGGAGCCTAGTTAGGTCCATTAGATTTTATTCCTGTTTTATGTCTGGGAACATTGATAGATCAATGGCCTGGGCTAACTCTCTATGCACAGACTCATGTACGGAGCATATAAAAGGTTAGTAGTGTTGAATCCAGTGGTTGGGACCACATTTTTCTCCCTGTTTTTTTCAACTTCAAGCTCCCACAGGAGACAGGCGGAAATCTCTCGGCATGCTGAACTTAAATGTTCCCAGGTATTTTGGATTGGATGGGACAAAGAATATCACTACTGAAAATATGGTGCTCTCTTAAGCCATGGTACAGTCTGAGAAACCCATACAGTTGATTTATCATAGTGTAGATGAAACTCCATAGAGGTGCATTAGATCTAATCTTTTGCTAATTTCAAGTAATACTGTCAGTATTGTTGCAGTAAAGTTCTGTGATTCACTCATCTATTTGTCAAGTATTCTGAGCCCCTTCCAAAAAGGATATGAAAGATGAAACTTGCCAAAACATGGCAAACAAATTTGATTTGGAAGAGATTCGACAGTAGGGAAACATTTTGTAATGACATGGTCACATGCCGACAGTGTTACTCCAGGTTATGGACAATTTAACTAGCATAACTTTCACAGAAAAACTTCTGCAAATGCATTGTGATGTCTTTAATTAAAGGACAACTCCAAGCATCATTGTGATGTCCTTAATTTAAGGACAACTCCAAGCATCATTAAAGGACAACTCCAAACTCATACGCTATGATGGTAGGAGTACCTTGGCTTAATTCCCCAAGAATAGGGAAACCCGTCTTGCAGTGATTTGCAGTGTTACCTGTGTCCCTGCAAGACACCCAGCCGCCTGTAATGGCTGGTGACGTGCATTTGGCTACTGCAGAGCAGCAGAAGCCGAATGCTGGTCTTACCAGCCATTCATTGACTTAAATTGTGAACTGACCTTTCTCACCTGATGAATGAGATTCTGTGCATAGAAATATGCCCTGAATAGACATTAACCAGCTGGAATTCTTGTTCTAGGCTTGCTAATGACGCTCCAATGATGCTGCCGGACAAAGAGTTACACTTTTGGCAGCAAAGACTTTAACCCCTTAAGGACACATGACATGTGTGACATGTCATAATTCCCTTTTATTCCAGAAGTTTGGTCCTTAAGGGGTTAAACAAAATGCTGAACATACACTCCAGGCATCATGACCACTTTAAATAACTTAATGGAGACATTATATGTGTAAAACAGCTGCTAAAAAAAGCTCCAGTAGTAAAATGGACAGCCACATGTTGTAGAAGCGGCAGATTGAGTGGCTTGTCCTTGCACAGGACTAGATTACGTTTGTTACAGGTGGGAAAAGGATGTTTTGAGGGAGCTGCAGGTGCAGCTTGGAAAGTCTGCTACTTGTAAAAAGATAGTAATAGCTGAAGTTATCCTGTGCAAGTGGCCATCTTTTCCACAGTAATCAAGTGAGCTATACTCAGATGGTACTTGAACATCGATTCGCAAGCTCTGAGACTAAAAATACAGGAATGTTTTGTAGCTGTTAATAATTATATAGCCAATATATAGTCAATAGTCATTTTATCACACTAACTAGTGGCGGATTTCATGTAGAGAGAGCCTTGTTGCAAGCAGTTTTTGGAAAATGCTGAAATGTATGCACCGATACACATACACTGCCACATACACAGAGAAACACATATACACACACTGACACATGCAGATACATAGACACACAAAAACACACTGACGCACATGCAAATATGCAAACACGCATACAGATACACAGAGAAACCCACACTGACACACATACATTACACAGAAACAATCAATGACACACATATACACACATCATAGTCAAACACATTTTTAACCACCTTTCTGTTTCCTACATTTTGGGTTCAGGAAGGTGGTTTTCCGGAGTTACTATCTTCTGGCTGAGGTTATTGGGAGTTAGAGACTGGCTCACTTTAGTGGTGTCCTCTCCTCTATAGCTCTGTTATCTGGGAGGAAGTGACCAGCATTAGCTTCCTCCCAGTACGGTTGATAAGAAAGGGACCCGGTCGTGCTGTTAATGCGCCCCAACCACTGTGCCCCTTGAAATATACCTATATGGGGGCCTCCATGCACTTGGGCCACCCGATAAGCCCCGTCAGCATGCATGCACCAGTGCAGGTACACCTGTTGCCCCGGCGGTAGTTCCACCACTGACTATATTTCTGCAAATGGTTGTAAAGCAGTTCCATGGGCCTGAAGAGATTTAGTATCTTTCAAAATACCATCCAAAATATGGCTTTTGGTCGGTCTATCAGGCTGTGAGATACAACTTCATCAGAGTTCCTCCAGGTCCCCCAAAAAACCTTATCGTCTGGCTGTCTCTCCTTTGGGAGTTTTTTTTTTTTCTAGATCATCAATGGGGAAATGTAGATCTTCCATATAATTCCAAACTAGAGAGCCTATTGTAGCTTGCTGACTTTTAATATCCAGGTATCTTCTACAATGCCCTTAATTCATCCAAGAAGTCCAAAATTTGGTCATCATAGCTTGTAAGACCCCTCATAGGCGCAGGGTAGAGAGATCTCCAGATGGAAAGGCTGTGCTCAACCCTCCACAGATTTTCTGACAATCCTAGATGATTCAGTAGAATCAACCAAAGACCCACCACCATCTTCGGATGAAAAATCCCTAATATTTCACGATCCTTCTGGTCCCCTGTTTTGTATATTTCCTGCCCATGACAGTCTTGATTGATATGTAGGTTAAAAATCTAGTCATTTTATCTCAGTGCTGTTCTCGCCTATCCCTTCCATTTATGTATACTGAGAGTCTGCCCACGTGAATACCATACATTTTGCTGATAGCCCCATAAGGTTATCAATATTATTGTACAGTATTTTTGATTGTACAGTATTTGTTTTAGTTACATGAATGTACCAGGAATACCTTAATGTTTTTATTTATTATAGTGAATATATTGTTTTAGTGCAGGGATGCCCAAAAGAACTACAACTCTCATGATGCTTTGCATGCCTTAGAATGACAAAGCATCATGGAAGCTGTAGTTTTAAAACATCTGGGGATCTACCTTTGGGCACCCCTGTTTTAGTGCATCTGAGATTATAGATACATTTACATATTTTCATAGCTTTTATCCAGTTTCTGTGTATATTCTAGGGATCGACCGATTATCGGTCTGGCCGATATTCTGTATTTTCAGCAATATCGATATCGGCCAATAAAGATAATGATATTGCCGATAATGCAGACCAGGGCCGCCATCAGGGACCAGGGGGGCCCGCAGCACACTCTTACTTACCTTCCCTTACGCTCCCCTGCGGAATGCAGGCCGCGAGAGTTAGACAGGGGAGCTGAAGGGAGCTGCTGGGAAGGTAAGTAAGAGTAACCACTCACTGCATTCACTATACACACACTACATACACTCTGCATTCATTATATACGCACTACACAAACACACACTGCATTCACTATACACACACACTACACAAACATACACTCTGCATTCATTATATACACACTACACAAACACACACTGCATTCACTATACACACACTACACAAACACACACACACTGCATCCACTACACAAACACACTGCATTCACTAATCAAATACTCTCACTGCATCCACTACACACACATATTCTTGAAAACATAAAAAATTCTGACTGGCATGTATATTTTGTGCATTTACCTTAATAAAAAAAAATTGCAAAAAAATAAATAAATAAACATGTTCAGTTAACAGAGTTTTGTAGAAATTGTTTATTTTTAAAAAATGGTAAATGTACAGAATATCGGTAAGTTATCGGCTATCTGCCTGAAAGTTCACAGATTATTGGTATCGGCTCTAAAAAATCAATATCGGTCGATCCCTAGTATTTTCTATATTGATCATACTACAGAGTGCTCAAGTCCTTTATCTA